GAGATCGCAGTCCTACTGGCGAAGGATGCGATAGAGCCGGTCCCTCCAGCCGATATGAAGACGGGGCTATACAGCCCTTACTTCATTGTACCCAAGAAAGGCGGTGGGTTACGACCGATCTTGGATCTGCATGTCTTGAACTGGGCCCTTCACTAGCTACCATTTCAAGATGCTCACGCAGAAACGCATCTTCAAGCGAATCCGTCCCCGAGATTGGTTTGCAGCAATCGACCTGAAGGACGTGTACTTTCATGTTTTGATCCTTCCGCGCCACAGACCATTTCTGCGGTTCACGTTCGAAGGATGGGCATATCAGTACAAGGTCCTGGCCTTCGGGCTGTCCCTGTCGCTCCATGTCTTCATGAAAGTTGCGGAGGCAGCCCTTGTTTCCCTGAAAGAGCAGGGCATTCGCGTTCTCAACTACCTCGACGACCGGCTCATACTAGCTCAGTCTCGGGATCAGTTGTGCGAACACAGGGACCTGGTGCTCTTGCACCTCAGCCGGTTGGGCCTTCGGGTTAACTGGGAAAAGAGCAAACTCTCCCCGATGCAGAGGATCTCTTTTCTCGGTATGGAGTTGGATTTGGTCGAACAGACAGCACGCCTCATGCAGGAACGTGCTCAGTAGGTGTTGAACTGCCTGAATACGTTCAAGAGCAGGACGGCGGTCCCACTGAAACAGTTTCAGAGGCTCCTGGGTCATATGGCAGCTGCAGCGGCAGTCACGCCGCTGGGGCTGCTTCATATGAGATCGCTTCAACACTGGCTCCATGGCAGAGTCCCGAGGTGGGCGTGGCAACGCGGCATTCAACGGGTCCAAGTTACACCGGCCTGCCACCAAATCTTCACCCCGTGGTCAGAACTTGCGTTTCTCCAGGCAGGAGTGCCCCTAGAGCAGGTCTCCAGGCATGCTGTGGTTCACACGGATGCCTCTGCCACCGGCTGGGGGGCCACGTACGACAGGCTTGCAGTGTCGGGGGTATGGACGGGCCCCCAACTGCACTGACACATCAACTGCCTAGAGTTGTTAGCAGTACGCCTTGCCTTGAACCATCTCAGAGGGCGCTTACGAGGGAAGCACGTGCTGGTCCGAACGGACAACACTGCGATCATTGCGTACATCAACTGACAAGGTGGTCTACACTCCCGTCGCATGTTGCAATTTGCCCACCACCTCCTCCTCTGGAGTCAGAAGCATCTGAGCCCGCTCGTGCCATTCACATTCCGGGTCTTCTCAACCGTGCAGTCGACGAGCTGTCACGAGCTGCGCTCCCCAGAGAGTGGAGACTTCATCCCCAGACGGTTCAGCTGATTTGGAGACGTTTCGGAGCCATTCAGGGAGACTTGTTTGCCTCTCCACAGACCTCTCACTGCCAGTTGTTTTACTCTCTGACCGAGGGAACATTCGGCACGGATGCACTGGCACACAGCTGGCCGCAGGGCCTGCGCATGTATGTGTTTCCCCCAGTGAGCCTTCTCGCACAGACACTGTGCAAGATTGGAGCGAAGGCTGTCTCCCTCCACCCTTAAAGCCTATGTGGCTGCGATTGCTGCAAACCACGACCCCGTGGAAGGGAAGTCGGTAGGGAGGCATGACTTGCTAGTCAGGTTCCTTAGGGGGGCGAGAAGGTTAAATCCTCCCCGGCCACCTTCTATACCCTCTTGGGACATGACCTGAGGACCCGGCCCAGCTACGTGCCCAAGGTTCCTACTACCCCCTTCAGGGATCAGGTGCCCCCGGAGGAGGAAGACCCAGTCCTAGCTTTGCTCTGTCTCGTCCGAGCCTTGAGATGGTACGTAGACCGGACACAAAGCTTCAGGACCTCAGATCAGCTCTTTGTCTGTTACGGAGGCCGGCAGAAGGGGAATGCCGTCTCTAAGCAGAGGATGGGCCACTGGATAGTCGATGCCATGGCAGCCAGACATGGCAGAACATCCAGTGCCTGGCCCTCACTCGATGAATCCGTGAGAACCGGTAGAGGGCTGGGTTCCATATGTAGAGACCTAAGTGGATCCCATATGTGTAAATTCCACGGTATAGGCTCAGAGCCCATGTTTCCCCGGCAGACTTTCTGCCATTTTATAAGATAGTTACAATCACCTCTAATCTTCCATATGCACCTAAACAGTTGTTCATATGTGTAAGTGCTTCCGAAACCTCCTTCGGAAAGGATGGGGCTTCCACAACGTTCCTGTTCCAAGTGGTACGGGTACGTTTTCCCAGTGTTATCCAATCTCACTGAGTGGGTAGTGTCTTATGACAACAGTGACTAGCCTTCTTGTTGCGAGCCCCGACCTACGCCGAAAAGGGGCGCAGGAGGCTCGCACAGGACACTGGAAGGGGCAGCATCCATGGCATTTTGGTAGGGATTCCAATTCGTCGGTCATTACCGACGTGATGTCGAGAGTGACCGACTGAAAGGGAACGTCTCGGGTGCGTATCTAACCCTCGTTCACTGAAGGCTGTACCACCGCTGAGCGGCCGGGTCACCGGCTTGGTTCCTCAGTGAAAACCTGAGTATGCGTTGCACCTGCTGCCTAGTTATACTTGCACTGCGATCAGCGGCAGCTGGATGCAATCATCATCGCATGCCAATGTGCATTGGCTCGTTTAGATTACACTGAAAGTGGATTGGTCTCTCTAAGCGAGATCCCAATTCGTCGGTCATTAACGATGTGATGTCTCCGTTCCCTCCTTCAGGGAACGAGGGTTACATATGTAACTGAGACGGTTTTTTTTTTTGTTCATGTGAAAAGATTAAAGATGTATAATTATAGAAATTATCTTTAAATCTCAGCACAGATTAAACAAAAAACTTTTTGGAATGTGTTTATGACTTATTTGGTTGATTTCATTTTTATTTCATAATTGTGATGCCAGTAACACAGCTGCTCCATAATGCAACTCTCACCTTCTTGGTGTCTATATCATCCAGGTGATTCTGGACAAACTGTATCGTTGCATTGAAGTCAGCCTGGTTGAACTCATATGGAATGTTCCAACCTAAAGGTCCAAATTTTCGCCTCTCTTGGACAGTGGAATGGAGGAATGCCACACCGTACAACATGGGCCTCCACTGGACCATGTTACTCACATCAAGAAGATCCTGACTGATACCTGGAAGACATTATTAGGCAACACCAATTTCAAGACTTTTATAATTATTAACACAACCCACACATACCTTTTTATTCATGAAACTGACATATCATTAACTTGATTATCTTTGAATAATGAGGCTCTTCTATAAATAATCATCCAGCCCAGATTTCTATAGCTCCATTAATGTTTCTAATCCATCAGTAGCCTCAAGTGATGGTTGAATCTTTCATCTCAAACAGGCAGAGTAAAAAAAAGCTTCTAAGATAGCCTGAGCTTGACATAGAGTCATGGAAAACTGACAGCTGAAGAAAGACTAAATATCCAGAGATGCCAGGCTCACCTACATAAGTCCTCTTAAGTCCAGCTTTCAGTCCCTCAGGAGGCTCGTTGGTAAATTTGATTGACATTTGCAGGAGAGTGATAGGAAAGTGTCTGTGGACCTCAGTGGTCATCCACAGTCTGAAGGTGTCATGAACGCTGTCCGTCTCTGTGATTGTATCCATGAGTTCATCCATAAAATGCAGACCCAAATGACAGTTTTGAAGTAAAGCCCAGCCTCCCTAATAGAAAAAAATAAAATAAATCAACACTTTTGGGGGGAATCAGCCTAGGAATGGCTTATTGTTGTTTCTGAATATATTAAGCTGGCACAGGAGCAAGTTTTAACATCAAAAATGGTTGAGTATGTACATACATTAGCCATGGAGTGCTGCAGAAGTTTGCATGCATGAACTTCCTGCCCTTGTCCCATTGAGACGTAACGAGTTTCAATTCTCTGTCGTTTACCCAGGGCTATGATTGGGTCTGTTGGGTCTGAACCCATAGACAGGAAGCAGATGAGAGGAGTGCGAGGGTCCGACTCCTCCCAGGTCTTCTCCAGGTCCAGAATCACTCCCTCAGCGTATCTCTCCCCCATTGAGTGCATTATGTACTTTCGTGCCTTTCAATTACACAATAAAAAACAAGTAATTAGCCTGATGCAATTAAAAGTCGTCACATATGTTACCCTTGGGAGATATTATCAGGAAACACGGTGTTAGCTTTCACTGTTATGCTGATGATACTCTTATTTATATGGTGCTTTATACAATACAGATTTGTTCAAAGCAGTTTTACAGATATAAACAGAAAAACAGTGTTGCAAAATTCAACTGGTACAAAGTAACTTCAATTTTAGCAATTCTACAAAATATTACTCAGCTTAATTTAGTACATTGTTGATTCAGTTAGTTCAATAACAGAGTCAATATTACAAAGTATTACTCAATTTAGTTCAAATTTGATCCGGTTCAGTTCAGTACCAGTGCTATTGCTGTTCATCAATTGTGAAACTAGTTCAAAGACAGCTCTACTGAAGACAATATTATCCAGCTCAATTCAGTTAAAGTTTTGCTGTCATCCGATAGTGCAGTCACATCGATAGTGATAATTGTCTTTTAAGCCCTAAATGAGCTGAAACTCCATTAGGTGATAGCAGAGGTGAAAATGGAAAAACCACCATTAACTGTCATAAAAAAATATTGTGACACTGACTTCATTATGATTACATTCCTACCTGAGCAATGGTTCTATCTGGACACCAGGATCGAATAAGAAGCAGTCGTCTGAAACAGTCCAAAGCCTGGTCATATGCATTTGGGATTGGTTCTTCTTCTGGTGCTTCTCGATCAAACCAGCTCTTCCACTGTTTCTCATGACGCGCAATCTGTTAATGCACATGCACACATGTACACAAAAGTAAACGATTCTGATACTTATTTGGACAGCTCACATGAAATTGTTTTGAGACGTTGTCATGTTCTGTGGGCTGCTATACAACTCTAAAACCTAATAATCACAATTTAAACAGCATTTTTGTTTATTTTATAGTTTTACACTTTTAGTTTTTTCAAAAGAGTCAAAATATATGACCTCATATTATTTACTGAACCATAAAGGGATAGTTGAACCAAAAATGCAAATTCTGCTATCTTTAACATCTGCATGACTTTATTCTGCAGATATTTTGAAGATGTTGGTAACCACTCAGCTTTGGTTACCATTGACTTTCGCTTTTTGGACAAAAAGCACTTATTTCTTATGAGTCATTTCTCAAAATATATTATTTTATGGCCTATAGAAATGCTTGGTACAACATGAGGGTGAGTAAATGATGACAGAATTTTATAATGTATTTTTTATATTTATTTTTATATTTAAATAAAATGTTTATTTTATATTTATTTATACTTTAATATATTATATAGCATCAACAATTAAATGGTTTGGACTTTCAACAGTTCAATAAACTATACATAAAATAAAAATATTCTGAATGTTTTGTCTGATCAAAAATCATTCAAAGGCAAAGACTGAACATAATGAGACTTGGATAGCATGGATTTCTGGTATGTCATGACATATATTGTATAATGCATTCTTGTGTGTGGATTAACAGTTTTCCTGTAGTTGCAGTGCTCCAGAAATGGTTAATTAAACAAAAGGCTTTTAATCTGATTTCTTTCAGCCACAAGTAATTGATTTAGAGTTTGCCAAAGTGAGCTCATTTCACACTGCATTGAGTATGAAGTTCCCTTGGGCAGTCATGGCCTGCCAATCAGCCGTCAGTGTGAGTGTCTGTGAATGTATTTGTGCCTCTGTGTGTGTGTGTGTGTGTGTGTGTGTGTGGACAAGATGAATCAAATATTGACATGTTTACTGCAAAGCGGGAGCAGTGAGATAGATTTAATGAGGAAAGGGAGCTCAAAGCGACAGATACTCTGTCTGTGTGTGTGTGTGTGTGTGTGTGTGTGTGTCTTCCATGTGCTGATGTGTCTGATCCTTTAAGAAACCATGTGTGTATAAGTGTGACCACACACCTGATCTAGAATGTCAGAGAACTGCCACAGCTTGCTCAGCTCCACCAGGTTAAGCCATGTTATGTCCAGGATCCACTTTGCAGCTTTGGGTGGACAGGCCTTCAGGTCCAACGAAGCACCTCCTGGGCGACATCAAGAAAACAGATCACATGTAGTACTTCCTGCCTTGTTCTTATTATGATGTTTTATTTATTTATTTGTTTGCTTGTTTGTTTGTTTATTGAAGCTATTATTGCATGTTGCTGACTATGTTCAGAATGGAATACCAGCTGACTTAATATACTATATAATTTTTTTTAAGTATTACGTGAAACAGTAAGGTTGTATAGATTAATATGAACTAACAATAAACAATGCTTATTAAGCCATTATTATTTATTAAAGTTATATTCTTATTAGCTCCATTTGTAAGAATTAACAACTTAGAAATTCAGCAAGGGAATGAAATTCCTATCAAATAATATTCTAACAATAATTATAATTTGATTCACAGGTTATTGAATGTTAAATCAGAAAAAAAATGTGTATATATGTTTTTTTTTATTTTTTTTTACTGGTTTGAATTTAAATGAGTTATAGTTTGGGGTACCAGATAGACAGATGTTAAAACAAAAAGTGTTATAACCATCCCCAGTCTCCTTCCACAAATCGTCTGTGGAATTTATATTCCTGTATTCACATCTTGTCTATTGTTGTTTGTTGTTATACTCTTTATTTATTGAGTTTTGGGTTTAGTCTTGCCTTGTTTTGAGTATAGTTAACTGAAATATTGACTTCCTCCTATTTTTGAATTAATAAAATACCTCTTTTCTTACAATTATCTTGCCTAAACAAAGAAGTTCTTCTCTGTTCTTGGAACACTAAATTGCAATGGTACATACGTAGGGACCTCTTATTGCAAATACAATATCTCGCTATGATCGCAAGAAAAGCTCATGTCTTATTGAAACAGAATGAGACAAACTACAGTGCAGCAAAGAGGGGGAAAGTGGCTCTCACAAGAGTACATTAAAGAGCAGAATGGTATTAACTGGCTTGACGTGCACTGTTAGCACAGGGAATCAAAATTGACCTTCTAGGTAATGGGCCACTTCTCTGACCACAAGACTACCTGATCTCTCAGTGATTAGCTAAATTTCGGATCTGATGCTTTCATGAAGCAAAACCACATGAACCAGCAATGATAATCACATAGTAGTTCATCAATCTGCAGACTCGCCAAGGACTCCTTGTGAACAACATGTACAGATCACAAATTGCAAAGAGCCAATAAATATGATTTTGGAAAGCATGTTACCCAGAAAAAAAGGTATTCACAAAAGCTTCTAATGGCAAATCCACAGTCGACTCTCTCCTCATTCTCGTTATTGTGCTTTTGGTTTGAAATCTCAATGTACCCAAGACCATGTTTTTTAATATATCATTTAGAAATTACAGTCTCTTGTCAATGTCTGTATGTATGAATTTGTTCTTGATTCTGGGCCCAATACAAGTTAAACTATATCGGCAGCATCTGTGGCATGCTATTGATTACCGCAGAATTACTTCTACTAGTCATTCCACAGCAAAAGCAGTTTGTTAAAGAATTTATATAGACATATTTTGTACAAAAATGTGCTATGTGATCAAGATTTCTAAATAGTGTTGGAGTGATGGAAATACGATATAAAGATAATTAATTTCTGGTCTATGCAAACACTGCAGACAGGAATGTCTATATCCATATATATTATTCTTTCATGTATCACATGAATGTGTGCCAGGTTTACATGGTCACAACAGGAGCTAAAATTATAGCACACTAATAGCTCTAGAAGCCTAGCCTGAAGTGTTCCTGCTGCTCAGCTCTGCCTGTACCTGTGGCTCCAACAGACTGCCTTAACACCTCTCTCTGTACCCCATTAATAATGGATTTATATATCCATTAGTATAATATATAAACTGTGTCTGAACTTATGTATTTGAGATGTACTGTAAAATTCAGCAGCAAGTCACATAGACTTGTTCATAACTGTTGTCCAAGAATATTGGTAGACCGATTACTCTCTTACTGAAGATCCTAGAAAACAGAGAAACTGAAGAAGAACGAGAAAGATTCTGACCATGCCAGAAAAACAGAGGGAAAAAAAGAGTGAGAGAGACTCGTGGGAGCCGGGAAGCTTTCTGACCTTTAATGAGGGTCAGAAACTCCTCGTGTTTGACCCTGTTGCTCTGCATGTCGATCTTGAGAGTGAGCAGCAGGGTGAACAGGAATTTGTGTTCTTCGTACAAACCCCGAGCTGCGTACTTGTGCACCTCAAAGGTCATGTACTCGATGATGTTGGCGATCCGCTTACTTGTAATTGGACTCTTTGAGGACCTACTCCCCAAGAGAAAGACACAAGGTTACAAAGGATTTACTGATAACAAACTCATGTAGAAGCTTACTCACTGCACTTTCACATCTCACGTGGACAGTATGACCAACAAACATAGTGATGTTATGACATCAGTATCATGTGAATGTACATTTTATTATCTCCCCAACATTTCATGGTGGGGTCAATGTAAGCACAATATGGGCTTGAGGTATAGGCCTCAAATGGGTTTGTTCACGAAGTTGGCCTTATTTTAATTTGTCCCAGTCTGAATTAGCTCATATATCTCATACAGAACCTATCTGGGACTAGTTCAGAGTAAAAAAAAAAAACCCATCTGGGGCCCATACCTCAAGTCTACATTTCACATGATGAACTGATAAATCGGTGATAAAGACAAGAAAACAGTTTAGTCTCATGCCATTTTGAGAAACTAATTTAAATGGGGTATGAAATGACAAATTAGTTTTACTTGGTCAAGGACAAGTCGAACAAGCCCAGGAACTGGCGCAGAGAGGTCTGATACATCACGTTCACCATGCTCATCTCCGTGATCAGAAAGTATAAAATGCTTCCTCTTGTGGCAACTACACACAGAAAAAGAAGGTGTCAACAAAGGCCTTGCTTACATCTGGTATTAACATCCATCTGAGATACAACTAGACATGGCCCCTTTGTCAGTGAACCTTGAAAGAAGGGTCTTATGTTGTGACTTATTGCATCTGGGTCTGACTGCATGATTAAAACCAGGGTTTCTCAAGCAATTTTGAGTCTCTTCAGTGATTTCTTACTGCTCAGCTCTCTGAAATACTTGATTCTGATTGGTCATTCATGATAGGCCCGTGTCTTGAGGTACTACGTGGCAGTGCTGCAATGCATGCAAGCCCCTCGTTTGCTATTCAAATCGATGAATCAACCAACATTTTGATTGTAATAACAGATGAGTGTTTCCACTGCCTGGATCACTATTTCACACAGAATGGCCTTGATTGGAAAAATTGCGTAGGCCTTTAAACAGATGGTGTGGTCTCAATGACTGATAAGCATGATGGGGTTGGTAGGGAAATTTGGAAAAGCATCTGAGGTGGAATTGTTCCACAGTTTTTACACAGCATTTAGCAAATGCAATGTCAGTGATAGACATTACTGACAAAACTATTAACCTTGGGAAGAACAATTCATTTTTAGGTTAGTTTGGTTTCAGTCTTGTGTGACCAATTAAAATCAGACAATTGTAAAGGGACTGTCACAATGAAAAGTTTCAAGAAGTTTTAAGTTGTCTTTTCAAATTTACCAGCAGGTGCACACATATCTGAAGGATACATTTCACTGCATCTGGATACCATAATATCAGACTGACAGTCTCAAGTGTGACATTAAATCTTCAATACAAGTTTGTTTACCACATAGTCTGCTTAATGATTTAAAATGTTTGTGCAATAATTAAATTAATTAGGATATAATAAGCAAATGGATCTAAAATGAAGCCTAGACAGTACAGTACATTTTACTTTTTTAATTGTTGCTCGCAAAAAATTGGGGGGGGGGTTGTGTAAAGAATTTCAGTCAGCAGCAATGGTTGATTAAAAGATCAGTAGGCATTTGTTACATTAAGTTTTACAGCTTGTGGTTATTCTGATAATTGTCACATTGTAAGACTAACAAACTAGAAAGGATGCAACTGCTCCATGTATCACTAAAAGAAAAATGCTCCGTGCTCCATGTATCACTAAAAAATCACTAAAGGAAAGACAAGCTCTAAGCCCTCACCGGGTCTATATTCCTCACGGGCCGCATTGATCTGGATCTCAGTCTCAGCAGCGATCTGGAGTTTCTGTGTGACCTCCTCTGCAGTGCGTTTCGTGTTTCCCAGCACTGTGATGAGGCTCTCGTCATCCACCAGGGAGCCCTGCGTGCTAGTCAGCCTAAAAAGTAAATTATCCTCCAGTTCCTTCATTTTACGTTTATTGGCCGTCACATCCTCCAGCAGGTCAATCCGCTCCTTCTCCAGTTCCTGACAAATCCAGAAACATCACACAGTCATTTCTCACCACACAAACATCTTTATAATTTGGCTATTAATTGGCATATACATTTTGTGATTATCGATTGAATTGCCTGTTTTGTTTATGTCATTTAATCCTGCTGCACAGGGACAGAATGACATGAACAAAATGTAATAAAATAATATTAACATGTCTAAAATGTTCTTTTGGGGCTATACAGCCCTGATCTACTTTTCATTCATACTTATATTTTTGGAGCCCAACCCAAAAATCACATTGTAGTAGTATACTGTAATATCAATTATGATTATCTTTATTCTAAAATATTAACATCTGATTATGCAGTAGTAATACATTTCATGTTGAAAAACAAAAAAATTAAATCACTAAAAGACAGACGAGCTCTAAGCCCCCACCGGGTCTGTATTCCTCGCGGGCCGCATTGATCTGGATCTCAGTCTCAGCAGCGATCTGGAGTTTCTGTGTGACCTCCTCTGCAGTGCGTTTCGTGTTTCCCAGCACTGTGATGAGGCTCTCGTCATCCACCAGGGAGCCCTGCGTGCTAGTCAGCCTAAAAAGTAAATTATCCTCCAGTTCCTTCATTTTACGTTTATTGGCCGTCACATCCTCCAGCAGGTCAATCCGCTCCTTCTCCAGTTCCTGACAAATCCAGAAACATCACACAGTCATTTCTCACCACACAAACATCTTTATAATTTGGCTATTAATTGGCATATACATTTTGTGATTATCGATTGAATTGCCTGTTTTGTTTATGTCATTTAATCCTGCTGCACAGGGACAGAATGACATGAACAAAATGTAATAAAATAATATTAACATGTCTAAAATGTTCTTTTGGGGCTATACAGCCCTGATCTACTTTTCATTCATACTTATATTTTTGGAGCCCAACCCAAAAATCACATTGTAGTAGTATACTGTAATATCAATTATGATTATCTTTATTCTAAAATATTAAAATCTGATTATGCAGTAGTAATACATTTCAATCCTACATTAGTCTTTTCTGCATATTTTAAGGTGGCCTGATTAATGAGGCTTCATTTATAAATCAGTGTTTAATTTTTTTTTCATGATGATAAAACATTCACATGATTAAGATGTATTATCTTTTTTTCAGACAGCACAAATTTATTAACACTTTAAATACATTATTTGTCATAGAACGTTTAAATTATTTTGTTTAAAACAATATTTTACAATAATGTAACTGTAATGACTTTGAACATTCAGGGTTTTACAAAAGGTCAAACATTGAAACATTTTGAATTTTAATAGAACCCAGCAACATACAAAGGTATGTCAACAGCCATTTCCTGTTTCTACTCCACACACACACACACACACACACACACACACACACACAAAAGTCCTCTGTCAAAGGTACTTGAGCGGAAATGTTCTCTGGTAAATACACAGTACATGTCAATGACTTACACTACATATTTTAATGCAGTTTAGTAAACCTTTGACATAAAAATTTTAAAAACAGATAACAGACCAGTGTCAAGGTGCTGAGCCACGAGACCTGAGTCAAATACCTAAATTTCCATCTTCAAAATAGTATGATAGTATAGTGTGCAGTCAATTTTGCTCGGTTAGCTTTCACAATCCTAGCATTACCAGTCAAATGCTTTTTTGCTTGCTGTCCAATTGTACCTTTTCAGTTCCCCATCAGGCAGAGATGACTAACTAGCCTCAGGAGAGGTCATGAAGCTATTATAATTCAGACTGGTGCTGGGTGGCATGTGGATCTGTACTCTTATTAGGCTGAGTGTAAAGAGGTGATATGGGTTTCAGGCCCTTATTCCTGATTGACAAATCAATGTCCAGCAGTGAATATGTTCTGAATGCCACTTTAATTTTCTCCACCTGGGAATCTGCAGGTGCTATCAAAGCCCATCTGACTGTGCTAGGCTGAAATGAGCTGAGATGACAGCGATTCTCCATAACAATGTGCAGTACTGCAAGATACCTGTAGCTTTGATTTAGTTCCTTCTTAAGCTTGACATAGCTGTGGGCTCCAATTTGAGATGCTATGCACATACTGTATATTCTATGTCAAGCACCATAAAACTTACAACACCAGCGATATTTTTGATGGCAAGATTTCTTTTGAATTATGTTTATCTTTCTTTTCAGTTTAAGAATAAACTTCACTAAAATGTGTTCAGCATTAATGAATAAAAAACAAACAATACTATGCCAAATGTATTTGTATAGTGCTTTTTACAATGCACTGTTTCAAAGCAGCTTTACAGAAAATCATGTTTTTATTATATCAGTAACATTTTACAATAACGTCTAACATTAGTCAATGCATTAGTTAACATGAACTAACTATGAGCAACATATTTTTACAAGATTAATAATAATAGCTTATAACCTAACCCTAATGTTTTATTTGGCAGATTAGAGTTGGGCAATGCATACATACTTTTTGCGACAATCTACCAGTACATATTATATATATCGTCCTAAGCAAGTATACCGTATGACTAACATAGCCAAGATTTGCTATAGTATATATTGCTTTACTTGAGTATAATGTATGCAAGTATTATATCCAGTATAGTACTATATCCAGTAATATATCCAGTTATTGATATATCAATGGGCAATAATACAGTTTACATTTGATGATACATTTGTTGATTTGTCGATATAACAATCAAACAGTTGATTTTTGCTATATAGTATGTCTCGAGTACTGTGTGTCACTGGGTATGGTTGGATATACTTGTAGTAGAAACTAAATTTTCAAAAATTAAATGCATTGCTTCTTCAATCAATATTTTACATGGAATCATTTTAGCAGTGCTGATGATGAAACAACAGAGATTTGTTAGATAAAACAGTTGAGTCTCTATGACTATGTTGAATTTTAGTAGTCTTTCAGTGTACAAAGATTTGAAATTCACGCTCTTTGTCCAGTGACCCTAAAAATTGACCGAAGCACTCTCTCTCTCTGGCTTGCTGTGCCATAGAAACATGTCTCTGAGATTTTCTCTTTTTTTCTCATGTAGGACCATAGGGACCTTTATGAGGAACACCAGAGTATAAGTGAAAAAAGCATATCTTTGAATGCACCACCAAAAGGTTTAAATAGCCTTTTCTAAAGCATGGCTTTACACAACTTCACATTGCATGTCAAGCATTATCTGAAATTACAGTACAATTAACCTAAGTGACTTACAAATGTGAAAAAGAAAAACAGTCTATTTATGTAAAAAAAACAAAAAAAAAACCCACTGGTCATTTCGGCAGTAGACTGAATGATGCTCAAGCGGTGAGTGGTAATCTACTTTGGCTAGTAGTGGCCAATTACCTGCCTTTCAGCAAGGACGAATGGTCGAATGTTACATCACCTAATTGCTATTCATAAGCCAAGCTATAAAAGTTTAAAATAGCCCCCCAACACACATTTCAGATCATTATTATACCCATTTTTTAACACACAAGTTCACTTTCAAAGGGCCCATACCTGTTTCTCAGTGAGAATAACTCTTCCCAGTAGCTGATCTTCCAGGCCCCTCATAGTAACGGTGAAGTCGATAATGGATGTCCGTGCGCTGATCTCAGGAGTGTATGCTGGGTTGGGCAGCTTGGTGGTCACATAGAGACGGAAACCCTTCATTACATCCACTTCTTTATCACCTACTTTCACCTGATGACAAGAATGAGTCAGAGATTTAAAACTCAGTGAAGAGCTGCTCTGACATCAACATGAAAACATAAAGTATTTGAAGAGTAAAGACACACTAGAGGATGACTAGAGTTCACACTAGAGTTCCATATCTCAAGATGCTTCTTAACCCTAGAAGACCCAAATATAAAATTATTTCACCTTTTAAATATTGTTGTAGGAGGCCTCTAATACGGAAATATATGTGTTTTTACATTTTTTAAATTTTAATCAGTTTTTAGTGAAATAATATCGCAACGTTGGGCTCTTTGGGTAGCAGAATTTCAGTGGTTTTACTCAGTCTGAACAAATGTAAAAAAAAATCATCTAAAGGTTCATTTGCTGGGTGAAATGCTCCTGTAACCCCATTACAATAGTCTATATATATGTATACACACTAATAATCACACAATAATGATAAAAAAGTCATTTTTTTATGAAGAAAAAAATTTATTATAAAAAATGATCTGATTATATTTACAAAACCTGATGAACTGAATGAAAGCTTTAAAATATTCTTCATGACTTGACTTGAAAACTTTCTTCTCTTGTATCGCAGTCCATCTCAAAGTCACCATTCTCATTTTGGACAGCATCAGTGATATATCATACACATATGATGAGACGGTGTTTCTTGGCTGGTGGCATTCTGAAATGGAGAAAAACAATGATTATTTTCCAGGCTAAATATATAAGTGGAAATTGATCCACATACACATTTTAAAGAATTCACTCATTCACAGAATTCACACAATACTTTCTGATAGCTTATTGTGCCCTTTACTTATCACGCTAATAGCACTTTTCAGAATATTATCACCTGTCCCTCATGCAGCAAGCAGATAATTGGGCAAACAAGCAAAGGACCATTTAAGTACATTTTATAAATTATAAGATACAGATAGTTTAAAATATTGCTACACAAATACTTTCAAATTATTGAAGAAATAATTGATTCTTCAACTTGAACTTATCAATTTATAATCATAAAATCTTGATTGAATCTCAAAATGGTAACAAAAATAAATTTAAAACGTGTGAATGATCAAAAACAGTATGTTTCTATTAGAACTTTTTCACATGGAACAGAGGAGAAATACAATTCATCCATGTAATGGATCCAAGGTGCACAGGCAAATTTTGCTACCCCTTTAATCCAACGTTGCAAAATTACAACACTGACATAACAAGCTCAAAATCTAAAATGATCAATGCATTCAACAATACCTTAATATCTACATGATCTACACATATTAATAATCACAGAAAAAATAGTTTAGGCATTTTACTTACTTGAATGTAGATTTATCCAGTCCAGTAATACAAGATGATGTGCTTCAAGGGAAGTTCGCAGGTTGTGTTAGTTTATGGCCAGGTAAATAGGCCTATTGTTAAAATCTAGCATCCAATAGCATTGCAGGGCTGAAGAATAGGACCCATTAGTTGTGTAAATGTGGTCTTAGAGAAAAAAAAAACATGAGCAGCTTTATTTTAGTCAAGCTAAACCTGATGTTGTAATCAGAATCAGAAGAGCTTTATTATCAAGTATGTTTACACACACAAGGAATTTGACTTGACGACAGGAGCTTCCAGTGCAGAAGAAAGTGCAGACATAAATAGGAATAACACAGTAGGGATGGAATATAACACTAATATAAGAAAACAAAAACAGAATTAAATAATGTACTATATACAGAATAGAAGTATAGGAAAATTTTTTGTATTTGTTTAAATAAATATATTATTATAACAGATATGTTATAAGTGTGCAGATATATTATTTACAAAGTGTACAGTTTACAAGTGTACAAATTTTGGATTCTGTGAATAAATATGTCAGTTGTGATGGACGATGTATAATTATGAAAGTTTAATTGTTCAGGCTGAATATAGCCTGCGGGAAAAAAACACACAAGCGATTTGACTTGACGACAGGAGCTTCCAGTGCAGAAGAAAGTGCAGACATAAATAGGAATAACACAGTAGGGATGGAATATAACACTAATATAAGAAAACAAAAACAGAATTAAATAATGTACTATATACAGAATAGAAGTATAGGAAAATTTTTTGTATTTGTTTAAATAAATATATTATTATAACAGATATGTTATAAGTGTGCAGATATATTATTTACAAAGTGTACAGTTTACAAGTGTACAAATTTTGGATTCTGTGAATAAATATGTCAGTTGTGATGGACGATGTATAATTATGAAAGTTTAATTGTTCAGGCTGAATATAGCCTGCGGGAAAAAACTGTTCCTGTGCCTGGCTGTTCTGGTGGTCAGTGCTCTAAAGAGTCGATGTGAGTGTCCCACTTCATGTCCTGAGATATGGTGGTGCCCAGCAATCTGAATGACTCTACTGCAGCCACAGTACTGTTCATGACGGTGAGTGGGGGGAGTGCTGGGGGGTTTCTCCTGAAGTCCATGATCACCTTCACCATTTTGAGCGTGTTGAGCTCCAGGTTGTTGTGACTGCACCAAACAGCCAGCTCTTTAAGTCAAGTCACCTTTATTTATATAGCGCTTTTAACAATACAGATTGTGTCAAAGCAACTGTACAGCATTAATTAGGAAAATAGTGTGTCAATAATGCAAAGTGACAATAGTAAACACTAATTTTTCAGTTAAAGGCAGTTCATCATTGAATTCAGTGATGTCATCATCAGTTCAGTTTAAATAGTATCTTTGCAATCAAGTCAACAATATCGCTGGAAATGAAGTGTCCCCAACTAAACAAGCCAGAGGCGACAGCGGCAAGGAACCAAAACTCCATCGGTGACAGAATGGAGAAAAAACCTTGGCAGAAACCAGGCTCAGTCGGGGGGCCAGTTCTCCTCTGACCAGACAAAACCAGCAGTTCAATTCCAGGCTGCAGCAAAGTCACATTGTGCAGAAGACTCATCTGGTTCCTGTGGTCTTGTCCCGGTGGCCGTCTAGGAGACAAGGTCTTCACTGGGGATCTGTCTCTGGGGCTCATCTAGTTGTCCTGATCTCCGCTGACTTTCAGGGCTGTAGAGGTCCTCTCTAGGTGCTGATCCACCATCTGGACTGGATACGGACTGGATCCAGGTGACTGCAGTGACCATCTGATC